GTATGGTGTCATCTAGGGGAGTATGCAGGAAGAATAATCCCATATCTAACAAAAATGTTGGGTTAAGGTTGCTAGGAGCTGTGGGCAAACAAAATATTTTGAGTCCATGTTGGGTATATGACTTTGGTGTTCCTGTGGATTTTTGGACCCATAACTTCGGGGATCCCTTGGTAAGATATAGGTGTATAGTTGTTCCATCTTTACATTGGGATTAAATCCACCCACAAAAGAAGTAGCTGCTACCCTACTGGGTTAAAGAGCAGGATCCAATTGCACTACAAAATAACCAGTTTTTAACTTCCAGTTTCTAACTACTTAATCCCTTAAAAGGTGATTATATATTCTGTAGGTGACCTGAGAAATGACTGTAAACTTAAAGCTGAGTATATGTAGCTTCTCTAGCATTACTTGCATTATTTATTGTGGTAGGCTCCTGTTCTTTCTAAGCACTGTGTGAGAATGTAGTATAGGGTTGCGAGGTGCCCCCGGCCACTGGCAGGGGATGAGGGAGGTAGGGTTGCCAGATCCAGGTTGGGAACGTCTTGGAGATTTTGGGATGGAGCCTAGGGAAGACAGGGACCCTAGTGGGGTATAATGCCATAGAGTCCACCCTCCAAAGCATCTATTTTCTCCAGGGAAACTGATCTCTGTAGTTTGGAGATGAGCTGTAATTCTGGGGGAATCCCCAGTTCCCAGCTGGAGGCTGGCCTCCCTAATAGTAGAAAGCAGCCTGCAGTGCATCTAAAGGACGGGTACAATGTCTGAAAGAAATAGTAGCTTTGAATTAAGGGACTGATGCTGGCATCAGTGCAAAGCACTGAACGTTTAGGCTACATGTTTTGAGATTTCATCAGGCATAGTCTGCACATTCCCTTTCCCCATGCTAAGAAGGCAAAAAAACTTTATTTTAATTTGGCGTAGTGGGGCCCATCATTGTTTTCCCAGTGTAATGTCTTGTTTGGCCTTGCTCAATAAATTGAGGACAGAAATGAAATCAATTTAACTTTCCCTCACATGTTAAAGAAAAGTGCTCTAGGATTCTTATCCTGAGAAAGTTACATCCGTACAGTAGCTTCTGACACTTCTGGGTGCGCAAGACTGCAAGCAATGTGGAGTTTGGGAAATTCCCTCTCCAAAGATGGCTCCCCTACTCCCATCTGTCAGTTTTGTACAAAATGAGCACAGGGTTTATGAAAGCTCTGTCAGTTCATGCTGGCCACTGCTAGAAGCACTTGCAAGGGGCTGGAAAACAAACCACACTTCTATGCATTAAGAGCTGTCCTTATGTCTTTATGAGATATAGCTACTTGCCGGCAGCAGTGATATTGTTACATTGTACTTGAAGGGCTGACTTGAAAGTTGGTGTCGTCAGCAGATATTTTGAAGTCCATCTTCTGTCGCGATCTTAGAGAATGCCCTGGACTTAAAAGTTCCTTGTATGTGTAAATGCGGAAAATGAAAATATAAAACAGTGCAAATAGTAGACTTTCAGTGCAATCTTGCGCATTTATTTCAGTCTAAGTCCATTGGAGACAATGGTTTATACTGGTGTAATTGTCAACCTTCATTGGACTCAGTTGTGAGTGGATTTGATTGACTGATATATCTAAACACAGGCAGAGCTTAAACAAAGCACCTTGCTTACTGGCTTTAGAGTACTCTGGCCCTGATGCAGACAGTCCCATATAAACTGAAGTGGCTGTAATTTCCAGATATTGTATTGCAGAAGTCAGCTGTTGAGGTCAAAGCATGTGATTAAGGGAAGGATAGAAGATTTAGTCAAAAACCCCTTTCTGTTTTAATGTGAATTTCTACTGAGACTCACAATGTGCAGCCAAATCATACTTAGTCTCCACTACATAGCTGAACAAAGCTTATTTTTTAATGTAGCTGTCTCCAGGTAATACATCAGTTGTTCTGATAATGCGTTCAACTTGCAGGGGAAGCACCAGGGTGAGCTGGAAAACTTCATCCAGTAGCCCAACAATCCTGGTGAATGAACAGTTTATAATCCCCACCACCTTGCCTCCCCACCACCTGCCTTTCTGTTGACGATTTAATGTGTATATTTGGTGATGTCAGTTCTTATCAGGGAATTCAAAAAGCAGAAGGGGATGGCACATGCTTTACATTCAGATGATGTCTGCTTCCATTTTGGCTATCTCTGGTTAGAGACATCTTCACATGACCTTTCCTCAAGACCTCAAAGAGTCCCCATTAGTTAGTCAACAGTACCAGGGTAAACTCTGTATGAGGAAGCTTCATATGTTCATACTTCAAGGTAACCGAACATTGATCGTGATGAGATTTCTCTTCAGCAAACCAAAAAGGGAAAAAAGAAAATAATTGTGGAAAGGTCCAGCACTAGGTGAATTCTCTGATCCCCCTGACAAAGCTTGTAGGGTGAAATGCTTAGGGGCCTTGTATGACAATAAAGCTGTCACCTGGCATCTTTTTTTCCTTTTTGGTTTGCTGGCACATTCTGGGTGTAGCCCAATTTTTCCTGTTTTTTGAGATTTTTCTCCATGTATTTATTCCATCCAGCGTCATTCCATCCACGAGAAACTAAGTCAGTTTCTGTTCACTTTCTTTAGAGAAGTTGTCTTGCTCTGAACTGGTAGGTATTAGAAATATATTAAGAATCTGAAAGGTTAAATGAATCCAAATTAATGGGCCCAATGTTAAAGGAAATAAATATAAGATATAGATACAGACCAATTGTAGAAAAATACGAGTATTTATTTACAAAATACTTTAAAAAACAATGAAACCCCCTAATATAGCCTCAGCTTGGGAGTTCCGGGCGACGCTGACTAGAATGGCAGCTTGAAACTGCCGCTCCGATCCCACCCCCACCACACTTATTTTATACGGCTCATAAAACGGCGCTTTGGGCTGCTCGTCGCCTGCCTTGTGAACTTCAGCAGAGAGAGGCGTGGGCAGGTGGGTCTCTGTGTATCCAAACTGCAGCAACTCTAACTACCTGGTTTAGAGCCGGGCCTTAGGACCCTGCGGCATCTTGCTTTCAACGCTGGTCCCAGCACTCACTGCCTGCCTCTTTCCTTCCTTGGCTGGCTGGCGTCCTGGCTAGAAACACTCATTTCATCCCTTTAATTCTCAACAGCCAGGTCTGAGCTTTTTTGCTTTCTGCTCCCCCCCCCCGCATGCTTGTCGCCTCCCCCCTTCAATATAAAGAGAGAGCCTGAATTGTAGTAAGGTATGCATAGGGCTCTTTTTGTAGCAGGAACTCCTTTGCATATTAGGCGACCCCCCCGCAATGTATCCAATCCTCCAAGAGCTTACAGAGCTCTTCTTACAGGGGCTACTGTAAACTCTTGGAGGATTGGCTACATTAGGGGTGTGTTGCCTAATATGCAAAGGAGTTCCTGCTACAAAAAGAGCCCTCAGTGGAATGCTGCGCGGGGGGGGGGGGGAGCTATTATTGCATAATCTGATTAAGCTTCCCTCTCCCTTTCCCCAGTGCCCCAGCCCCACCAGCCAGAAATTCCTGGCTAAGGGGCTGGGAATGAGGCTCCAGCCCTCAGTTCCAGCCTGCTGATGTCTGTTGCAAAACCTCCAACCTATGCTGTTTCATTTCTCTTTTAGTGAGAAGAATAGCTTGGCTCTGTCTGTTTTCTTTGTTTATTGGTTGAAGGTAGTTTTAAATGTTTGGATTCAAGTGGCGTAGAATTTCCTATGCATTCAAGCTCTTAGTATTCCGGTAAATCTTTGACTTCCTTTATGGTACCAAGACCTTGTCAACCTTCATTGGACTCAGTTGTGAGTGGATTTGATTGACTGATATATCTAAACACAGGCAGAGCTTAAACAAAGCACCTTGCTTACTGGCTTTAGAGTACTCTGGCCCTGATGCAGACAGTCCCATATAAACTGAAGTGGCTGTAATTTCCAGATATTGTATTGCAGAAGTCAGCTGTTGAGGTCAAAGCATGTGATTAAGGGCAGGATAGCAGATTTAGTCAAAAAGCCCTTTCTGTTTTAATGTGAATTTCTACTGAGACTCACAATGTGCAGCCAAATCATACTTAGTCTCCACTACATAGCTGAACAAAGCTTATTTTTTAATGTAGCTGTCTCCAGGTAATACATCAGTTGTTCTGATAATGCGTTCAACTTGCAGGGGAAGCACCAGGGTGAGCTGGAAAACTTCATCCAGTAGCCCAACAATCCTGGTGAATGAACAGTTTATAATCCCCACCACCTTGCCTCCCCACCACCTGCCTTTCTGTTGACGATTTAATGTGTATATTTGGTGATGTCAGTTCTTATCAGGGAATTCAAAAAGCAGAAGGGGATGGCACATGCTTTACATTCAGATGATGTCTGCTTCCATTTTGGCTATCTCTGGTTAGAGACATCTTCACATGACCTTTCCTCAAGACCTCAAAGAGTCCCCATTAGTTAGTCAACAGTACCAGGGTAAACTCTGTATGAGGAAGCTTCATATGTTCATACTTCAAGGTAACCGAACATTGATCGTGATGAGATTTCTCTTCAGCAAACCAAAAAGGGAAAAAAGAAAATAATTGTGGAAAGGTCCAGCACTAGGTGAATTCTCTGATCCCCCTGACAAAGCTTGTAGGGTGAAATGCTTAGGGGCCTTGTATGACAATAAAGCTGTCACCTGGCATCTTTTTTTCCTTTTTGGTTTGCTGGCACATTCTGGGTGTAGCCCAATTTTTCCTGTTTTTTGAGATTTTTCTCCATGTATTTATTCCATCCAGCGCCATTCCATCCACGAGAAACTAAGTCAGTTTCTGTTCACTTTCTTTAGAGAAGTTGTCTTGCTCTGAACTGGTAGGTATTAG